TCGTGGTAGTCTCTGCGATAGTCAGTAAATTAGAACTCAGAAGTTAAGGTTCCGAATTACTTTATGTATTCCACAAGACCGATACCGATCACCGTTCATGTCTGTGATAATTAATAGCGTCGTCAGATAATTACTTTGAGTGTATTTTCATAGTTCTTGTATTGTAATTCCGCAACACAATGCCGGTATCCGAGCCGTCTTACAGATTTCATCTCGAGCCTGACATTAAGCCTCGTCAAAGTCAGGGATTCATCGTTCTTTAGTCTTTTCAAAACAATTCGGTACACGCAAACAGGCACCGGCAACGGACAATCGAAAGTTCTAGAACAATTCAATTCGCGCACGCGAGCGCCGCGCTCCGACGAATACGTCACGCGCTGTCACCAATCCCGCGTACGGATTTTCTGTCGCGCATGACTGTTACGTTGAACGTCGTTAGAAAAGAATCGAAAGCGCCAATCAATTTTGTACAACCAATGCCACGTGATAATTACGATTGTGGCAAAATTTAATTGGATTTCTCCCAAGAAGAAAGCCCAGACCGAAAGCAATAAATGCTTCGATCTCGCCGTTCCTCCCGGGCAGATTGCTTAGATAGTTTACACCGCTTAGACAGTTTACACCGCTTAGAGTTCTTAGACTTCTTAGAGTTCTCACTTCTAAAAGTTCTTCGAGTTCTTAGAGTCATAGTCTCGCTACTATATCGCTTCGTAAAACCGCCGTGCTAACCGCTTAGTGAAAACTGCTATAAAACGAATCTTTTCAAAAGTGCCGAGAAAATCGCCGAGATTTTCCATTACCACGATTCCAAATACAATTTTGGAAAAGGTGACCGCATTTGATATTCTGTTAATTTAATATTTAATTAATTATATTTTCTGACTCTGTAACTGATCATATTAAAGAAAATTCTTTTGTTGAATTAAAGAAACGGAGTTCTCTTTACTGTCGTGTGTCATATCAACCGTGTGCCGTTCTCTCGCTCGAATCTTTCCGCGCGGTGCATTCTCGCACAAGCGTCGTTAGATATTTCTTAGAGTGTATTTTCATAGTTCTTGTATTGTACTTCGCGACACAATGCCGGTATCCGAGCAGTCTTACACGCCCAATCACGTCTCTATTTTCTAATCTATATTTGTATTTAGTATTTAGTTAGTTTCACCACTTGCACGGCGACGACCACCTGTGGAAGCCCCATAACATCCACGGGTTTCACAGGGGCCGCGGGGAGACTGATGACCTCCGAGCCTCCCCCAAACGAGCATCTTCCCGACCATCGGGGAGGAAGGAACGTCACCGTGAATGGCGGTCGTCACACCATCCAGAGGCGACAGGAGCACGTCCCCGCTCATCCCACCAAGACCAGCGTCACTAGAGCCTGAGCGGGGACAAGAGGAGCGGCGGCTGAAAGACGCGGCGCAGCTACCCACAACACCCGTCATCGAGGGGGACAACCAGTGGGGTGGTTAGTGGACGATGAGCGTGAAGCCGAAAGCGAGAAGAGCGAAAAGGCGTCAATTAAACGATACATCCCCCTCCAACTCCGAGTCCCCGCCAACCGCTGGACCATCGCGTTCGCCGCGCATAGCCCCACTATCTGCACTGATAGCGGCGTCGACGAACCGTCATGAGACCAGCCTAAATCTAACAGCACGCACGACAATAATTGCATGGACCGAACTCCGCCCCATAACATTTTGCCGATAAGGGCGGAGCGCCGTCGCGGGACATCGCCACAGGATCGCGTAGGGGGAGACATCGGTTATGGTGCTGGAGAGGTAAGTGCCGAACATCCGAATGCTCCCATATATGTCCGTGGTGTGATGTCTCGAGGGAGAGCAACCGCTTCATCCATCGTGCCACCGCGAACCAACCGTGGGGAGGGCGGTCGGCAGCATCATGGTCGGTGGCGTCCAGACGCTCCTGTCGATCAGCGGGATCATCCGGCGCCTGCGACTGTGGCGAGGCAGCGTAGGCGTGAGCGGGTGGCCGCCCGCGACGCGCTGCTCAATCGGACCAAGGACGTCGCTACGATTGCGGATCTAGAGGCGTTCGCGGCTTCGGTCGCGGCATTCTTCGGGGAGGATGCATCGGCCACTGGTACTGCAGCCCGTACTCGCGATCGTTCGGTACGCTCACGGGAGGCGGGTGCGCGTCGGGGGGTGAAGGGAGGTGAGCGTCCGGAGAGAGAAGGCGCCGGTAGGCCGGGGTCAGCGCCGGCTGACCCCGGAGCGTCGGGAGAACGGGGATTGGGTGCGCGAGGCCAAACGCTTGCAGGCGCTGTACAGGGCGAACCGCCGCAAGGCAGTGCGAGAAGTGCTCCAGGGGCCTGCCAGTGCCAGGTGCCTAAACGTCAGGTCCAGGAGTACTTTGAGCGACTGTACAGCGGCGGGGAAGACCTGGCTGGCGCCAGCGTCGAAACCGAATGCCCTGAACTCTCGAGTCCGCGCGAGGTATCTGCGGTCCTGGGTCCGCTTGCGGAGCGAGAGGTGGCTCCGGCGTATGAATAACTCTGCGCCGGGTCCCGACGGTGTATCCTACCGTGGGGCGGACCGGGGAGCGCGACTCCTCACGGCGCTCTACAACATCTGCCTGCGGGTCGAGGCAGTACCCGTGTCCTGGAAGATCTCCAACACCGTGTTAATACACAAAAAAGGAGACCGGAGCATGTTGGAGAACTGGCGTCCTCTCGCTCTGGGGGACACCGTCCCTAAACTCTTCGCCGCACTCTTGGCCGACCGATTGACCGACTGAGCGGTCACCCGTGGGAAGCTCTGCTCCGCGCAGAAGGGCTTCCTGCGGGACGAAGGATACTACGAGCACAACTTCGTCCTGCAGGAGGATCTGACGCACGCCAAGCGCTCTAAGCGTCAGGCGGTCGTCGCGTGGCTGGATCTGTCCGCGTTTGGATCGATCCCGCACGCGACGATCCGCCGCGCGCTTCTAAGATTCGCGGTGCCACAGAGTCTCATAGCGATATGAGACTCCATGTACGATGGTTGCACAACGAGGGTGCGAACCACCGAGGGTCACACAGCACCCATCCCCATTCGGTCGGGCGTCCGCCAGGGTTGTCCGCTAAGCCCTGTAGTCTTCAACCTGGCCATCGATTCGGTCGTCCGTGTGGCGGCCGAGACGAATGACGGGTATTTCCTCCACGGGAATACCTGGTCGGCACTGGCTTATGCGGACGACATTGCACTACTGGCCCAGATGCCCGAGGGGATGGAGAGGATGCTAGCCTCTGTGGAAGCGAAGGCAGCGTCGGTGAGGCTGCGATTCAATCCTGCAAAGTGTGCCACCCTGCACGTCGGTGCGGGGAATGGCGGCAGGGTCCTGCCGACGTCATTCCAAATCCAGGAGGAAACGATCAACCCCCTGGCTCAGGGTGAGCCAGTACACCCACCTTGGCGTTCCAACGGGGTTCTCCATGGACCAGACACCCTACGCCGCCGTCGGAGACATCGTCTCGGACCTGCGCGCTGTCGACCGCTCACTCCTGGCCCCGTGGCAGAAGAGAGAAATGCTGGGGACATTCATCCTACCCAGACTTGACTTTCTGCTCCGGGGAGCCAGAGTGTTCAAAGGTCCCCTCACGGCCGTGGACTTTAATATCCGTAGGCATGTTAAATCCTGGCTCAACCTCTCTCAGCGAGCAAGCGCGGAGAGAGTTTACATATCGCCCCGTTGGGGGGATGTGAACTCCTGCCACTCTCTGACCTCGCCGACGTCCTCACGATTGTCCGCGCGTACCATATGTTAACGGCGCGCGATGGCGCCGTGAGGAAGTTGGCGTGGGAATCGCTGAGGGGAGTGGTTGATCGGCCACGCCCCTAGTTGCGAGGATATCGCCTCCTTCCTATCCGGCTTGCTGAATGAAAGGATGAGAGGCGGAGGGAAGGCTTCGCTCTGGTCGAGTGCGCGGAACGCTGCGCTCAGACAGTCCGAGAGGTTGTCCCTGCGTTGGCGGTGGGTCGAGGCCACGAAGGAGATGACATTGGAATGTCGAGGGTCCAGGGGGGCATCGATCAAAATTCCGCCTGAAGCGCGCGATCAGGTAGTGAATTGGTTGCGCTCAGCTGTAGCAGAGCACTACGCCAATAGGTTGCTTAGCAAGCCTGATCAGAGTAAGGTCTTCGAGGTGTCGTCGCGGAGCCGAGTGAGCAATCACTTTATCCGCGGCGGCTTCACTCGCTTCACTGACTGGCACTTTATCCATAAAGCCCGGTTAGATGTTCTTCCTCTCAACGGCGCACGACGTTGGGAGGCCAACGACAAGCGCTGTCGGCGATGCGGTGAGGTATCGGAGACATTACCCCACGTGCTCTGTCACTGCGGCATCCACTCCGCTGCGATACAGCTGAGGCACGACGCTGTCCTACACCGCCTTTGAAAAGCCACTCGCCTTCCAGAGGTAGTGCGGGTTAATCAGCGGGTGGAGGGCGTCGGCGACGAATTGGGGTCGCTACGACCTGATCTCGTGGTCAGGCACGAGCCCTCCAAAAGTGTCGTCATCTGCGACGTCACTGTGCCATTCGAAAACCGCTGGACCGCTTTCGAGGACGCCAGGGCGAGGAAAATCCAAATACTCGCCTCTGGCAAAAGAGCTACAGCGGCGAGGGTACCGTGTCGTCATGACGACCTTCGTTGTCGACCCTCGGCTCGTGGGATTCGAGGAATGAGGCGGTGTTGAGACTGTTGCGGGTTGGCAATCAGTATGCAGCTATGATGCGGCGCCTCATTGTCTGGGATACCATTCGCTGGTCACGCGACATATATGTGGGGCATGTGTCCGGCACCCGCCAGTACCTGGCTCCCTCCCGTCCCTCTAGGGATCTCTGCCGAGAGTGGTTCGTCGACGCTGGCTCGCCGAGGAAAGAAGCGCACAGGACGCGGCGCGTCGCGGTCCGGGTAGTGTGAATGTCGCGTAAATTATTTTGTCTTTGTCTTGACCCCCCCTTTTTAAACCAAGCAGAGAGAGTGGCCCAATGTCTAACTATTATATATTAACCATTTACTGTGATATTTATTATTTGACTGTTGGGCGGGCCCCTCTCTGCTGATTTTATTTTTATATATTTTTTACTCGCGTACTTTTTGTACTACTCTATTTTTCTTTTTATTATTAGCTACGCTATTTTTATTTTTTTCTTTGACTTTATTTTCTTTCTTTTTTTCTTATCCTCTTCTTTTCTTTCTTTTATTCTTCTTTTATTTATCTTTTTTTCTTTTCTGTTGTGGGGCCCTGACCGTCCGAGTGTGAATGCCGCGAAAAACAATATTATGTTTTATACGAGTATGCATGTCCGTGATATATTTGTTTATTTTATTTTATTTATTTATTTTATTTTATTGCCGCACGCGCTCCTCCGGGACTTTTATTAGTCAATATGTGATATTTTTCTGCTCAGGCTGGGGGGCTTGTCCCCCAGCCCCTTAGTTTTAATTGCCTATGCGGGGGGGCTTTTGTCCCCCGCAAATGTATATATATATATATTTAACGCGCGGCTTAGCCGCTTATTGTTTGTATTACCTCAGAGGGGAATTGTCCCTCAAAAAAAAAAAAATGATTGGAAAAATTTAGTTAGTTTAATATCAAGTTTATATTAAATCGCCTTATGGCATAAAAATCAGAAGCAGTGAGTAGCACTCATTCTCAACCTAACGATTTCCCGCCAATTGTTCTTCGCCTTTGATAATCATCGGCGCCATATTGCACAGCAGTCGCTCCAACAGCCACACGAGCAATGCTACTAATGACATCTTTCTGCAATGGGCGGAAACTTATTCCCATGCCCAATATTATAGCGAGGCAAAATCACTCTCCGAGGCAGCCCGAAACTTCGAGCGCTCACGGACATGCTTCGTCAATTATATGCAGTGACGTATCTCGGACACTGTATAATCATAGCCCAGTAGCGCACTGAATGTCAAGCATCTTTGATGTAAGTGTTCTTGAGTCACATGATTTACCGCCATGTTGTGAAGTGTACACAGTATGATAGGCTCTTAAATATAATTTGAATTTCTATCAAGCTTCTAATACGTCCGTCATATTCCTAAGTATACAAACCGATACATGCGCACTAAAAATTATAGATCACAAAAAAGTTCACTGTCGCTAGTGTCGCTATGATTATACTGTGCCTCGGACTCCCTGATTCCAGTCTCGTTTTTGACACCACTGCCTCTGTCTCCAATCAAAAATTTTATCCTTTATCTATGGAAGGCCAATCACAGCCAAGAAGGACTGCGCGCGCATGCAATCAGTGAGATGGTCGAAAATAAAAGGAACTAACGTACTCTGACCTATATACTATTTCATACACATAGCAATAATGAATCATAATCAACAAACGCCAACAAAAATAACATCAATGTTATAATATGTTTTCTCACTCAATATCAATATATTATATTCAATATAATGCAAGTATATGTAACGGTTACATAATTGCATGAAAAATTATAACATATTGATGTTGCGTAGTAGTTAATAGTAGTTGATAGGACAGATATTTTTCTCTACTTAATTTCTGATGAATGAAATTTTGATGAATGGAAATAAACCTAAAAAATAAGAGATACACGTTAAAGAAAAATATCTGTCCTATCAATTATCATTAACATAACATATGTTAAAATTTTTCACGCAACTACGTATTCATTACATACACTTGCATTAAATTTGACATTGAGTGAGAAATTATAATATTGATGTTATTTTTGTTGGTGTTTACGAGAGTTATATTATAAAACATTTGTATGCTTTGATACTGACCTCACACATAGCTGATTTTGGAAATTTCCAATCAAAAATTCTGACAGCATCAATCCATTTTTATCTCAACTTCAGATCGTGGGCATTTGTTATGCAGCAGTATCCTTTTTTATTTGAGTTGATGCATCTGAGAACACTACACCTGGCAGGCATTTTATAATATCCCAGCAAATGAAAATGGATTGAAATGAATTGAAATGAAAAATTGAATTCAGATTTTCAGAAATATTGATTCATGAATGTTAAAATGAATGCTTTTCAATCCTGAATGCATTTTTATTCATTTATAGGAATTGCATGGAGCATATCTCTATGCTTTTCAATCTAAAAATAATATTAGCTTTTTCTGTGCACAACATACACATTGTGAATATTGTTCAATTCAAAATTTTAAATAGGAAATGCAGTTTTTCAATCCAATTGCATCCAATTAAATCCAATTGAATCCAATTAAATCCAAAAAAAGTATTCATTATTTAAAATACGCATTCGGATAGAAAAAAATTTCAATCTATTTCTGGGTGAATATTCAAACAATTACATTATCTGCAATATATAATACAATAACATAAAATAATAATAAAAAACTTAAAATACTAATACAAGAAATCATTAAAGAACTGGATAAACTTACATTGCATATTGACGATGATCAAATGGATCGATAATTTAGAACGTACGTAAGACATTTCAAAAGTGTGTGACAGATGAAATTGTCAAAATGAAATTGTCGTTACAAAGTGGTGAGAAATAAAATAAATAAAAGGAAACAGAAAGTCAAACAAGTTATAATAACGAAGTATGTGCATTAACTATAAAACTTGGAAAAATCAATCTTCTTCAAATAAATCATGGTACAAAGAATCCAACATTTCAGTATCCTCTTGTAAATTTAAATCATTCTTTTGTTTCTTAATGTAAATAAAAATTAATCACTCTGAGATTAATCGCTCATTGTGATTCTTTTCTTCATTAAAAATCTTGATATTATCTCTATTAGGGAGAGGACCTCGGTGTCCTCGTTGCGTTATGTGAAACGCTGTTTTCTCGTAGTCGGAGACTTGTGTCTCATGCCTTATGGCTTGTTCGAAAGAATTGGCTGCGCGTGATAAAAGATGAAACCTTTGATATAAAATACTTTATTATTTCTTGAATTGCACTCGCGTCGTATACTATCAGGTCAAAAGAATAAAAACGGTTTGTGCACCGATCTTGTACGTGTTCATCGCAAGGAGGTCGCACACGGAAGCGCCGAAAATCTTCTAGAAGCGCGGATCCGCAAGCAGCATAGTCGCGCGCATGCCCTCCCCCTCGGTGGGTCCCATCAGCGACACGGCACTGTGTGCACCGCATTCATGCCGCAAACACGTCGCAATCACCTCGCAAACGGGCTGGCATCACACGCTGAGCTAAACACTGACATACCGCCGCCCTTGAAAGAATTGCCTTTCAATAAATACAAAATGAATATGTTTGATCAACAAAATAACATCATGTTGTCAATGATGAAGATAATAATACTAAGACATAAACATGAACACCAAGAGATACACAAAAAACGTCAAATTTTCAATGTCATAACCAGACCTTAGTTTTCAATTGGAAATAGACAGAGACGAGTAATCGGTCGCTTGTAACTGCCGTTAGCAGTACGCATCGTTACAACGCGTGCTATGGTATTCTTGCCTGAATGTTTGTCTTGAATTCTTTCCAGAGGCCATGATAGTGGAGGAGTGTTGTCTTCCTTGATGATAATCATTTGGCCGACATGTACGGACGGTTCGTTTATTTGCCACTTGTTACGTTTCTGGCATTGGTGAAGGTACTCGCGAGTCCATCGTTTCCAAAAATGTTGTCACAATAGCTGTATGTACTGCCATCGGGAGAGTTTACTTCGTCCAAGGATGGCTCTGGATACGCTGTGAGAAGTGTACCCACTAAAAAGTATCCGGGAGTTAGAGAGGTGAAGTCGTTGGGGTCCTCAGAAAGAGAGGTGAGAGGACGCGAATTCAATATCGCTTCTGGATGAGCAATGTTTCCAGCTCCTCGCGTTTCAAATTGGAATTCTTTATAATGCGAGACAAATGTCGCTTACTCGCCTTCACGGCGGCCTCCCATAAACCTCCATGGTGGTGGGATAAAGTGCCATTGCACTCCTAAATTTAGTGTTTGATCCTGGATATGTTGTTGAGTTGACTCATCACGCAGCAGCTCTCCCAATTCGCTCAATTCGCGCTCGACGAAGTTTAGTCCATTGTCAGAAAAGATGTCCGAAGGGCAACCTCTTCTTGCTACGAACCTCCTGAAGACGTAGAAATGTTTCTGACGACAAGTTAGACGCCAACTCGATATGAATCGCCTTGGTGGCCAAACAAATAAAAATTGCGATATAGCATTTCATCAACTTAATGGATCTTCTAGTATCTTCCTTGTAATAGAGGAGGCCGGCATAGTCCACTCCACATTGATCAAATATTTTCGAAGAAATTTTAACCCGCGGTTCAGGCAAGTTTCTCATAATAGCGGAAGTTTTGGTGAACTCTTGAAACAGACGATACATCTCCTGAGAATTTGTCGAATGACGTTACGCGCCGAAGGGAGACGCACCGCGG